TTTTATAAAAGAAATCAAATTTTAGGAAAGAATTCACAACTTGATTATCATGACAGAAAGCTGGAAGCCTGAAAATTCCATTTCAATATGAAATGGAACAAAATCAACATTTAAGACATACCAATACATCACAAAATCTATCAGCACCGGTATAATTTGTCAGTCACCAATATACCTAACCAACCTACCCAAAAAAAAAAAAAATTAAATTGAGCATCAAAAAATGAAGCAGTAATTTCTGAAGCAACCCTTCTTAGGAAACAAAGGTAAAGGTTAGCATGAGCTCTTTCACGAGAATAAAAAGCGCTACTTCAGGGCTTCATTGAGCTGGACATGTCCATGCAACCATAACTAATATATATCCATCTCACAGCGTTCAAAAACTGGTACTTGACGACCGACACAGTCACCAACAACCCTAGTCAACTTGCTGAGTCAAATAGTTAACAAATATGACCAGATTTACAAATGGAAAAAGTTTATGTAGAACCGAAGCTCTAAACAATCAAATTAGAGCCCACCTCAAAAATTTCACTAGAAGAGGTTGCTTTGATGCCCAAATATCCTCAAATTGATCATCTCGATATCAAGATGCATGGGCATAAGAAAAAATTAGATTTCAAGTTTTGAAAATAGAGTAATTTGTAACGCATTTTTGGACCGTCGATTTTCAAGATTTTCAAGTTTTCATAAATCTGTCGATCTACACTATTTTTGAAGCTTTAAACTTTATAAATAAAGATGAAAATATATTTTAAGGCTATTACAAAGATTTGTAGTATTGAAACCACATTGCTCGACACTATTTGAAGGTAGGCTCTAATTTGATTTTTTAGAGTCTGGGCCTTATACAAACCGCACCCTTTAAGTATTTATCAAGAATTTGATAAAAGGGGAACAATTACAAATTGATCAAGAATTTGATAAAAATGGAATCATTATAAAAAAAAAAATGATAAAAATGGAACAGTCTACATTGTACCCAGTTCTTCAACAATATATAATTTATAAGCGAAATCAGCATAAAAAAATTATTTATATACAAACTCAGGACATCTCTTGAGCTTTTCAGTTATAAAGCCCGCCCACTTGACAAACTAGGGAGGACGTCCTGCTCCCGAAATGCAGATCTGCAGTTCGGGAGGCAGAACTTGTTCCATATTTTCTTGGGAAATCTTTCTACTCACGTTCTTAAGGAAGAGCCTGATATCTCCTTTGGAGGGCTCTATTGTGGGATCTACAAAATGCATCACAACGTAAAATTTGGGTTTGAGGAGAGGGCAACATTTTTTATTCTAGAAATAAGCTAAAAAAGAACTCAAGCAACAATATCAATATTTTTTCATGAAGTTTATCGTATTTTTAATACCTATTTGTTTATTAACAGTTGTTATATGGGAACTCCCCTTGGCACTGCCATACTGAGGAGCTTCTTTTTTATTTTTATTTTTATTTTTTTTTATATTTTTATTTTTTATTTTTTTTAATGAACATAACTAGGGAGCTTCTGATGCGCAATGATTCCCCATCTCCCCTCTCTTTTCTTCCTCTGAGGCTCGCTCCCTATGGACATTCCACCATCCCTTAGCCTTGCTGCACCCTACACCGTCCTTCACTGAGGAGTTGTGTAAAATGTCTGCAAAATGTGGTTGAAAGAGATAAAGCTATCAAAATGGTGAAGGTCCTCATCCAATGTCTCCCCTCGTGATGACGGACAAATTGCGTGGATGCACACATACTTCATAACGGGTGCAGTGTCCATGTTAAACACTTGAAAACACGAGTAAAAAATGCAAAATCACAAAAATGTTGTAGCTGTGCTTAAAGCTCTATCCGTGAATCACAGCTCAAGGCATTCCCACTTAATTATACTAAGTCTCCCTCCCCTAATTGGGGGAGGGGGGGGGGGGGGAGATGAAACAGGTTCATCTTTAAGGCCAAGGAGGAGGTCTCGCGGCTCCCTCTCTGTTGCATCACATGTTCCCAATGTCCCTGAAAAGACTTAATCAATGAACCGCTCTTTTCATACTTTATTCTGTCTGCATGGCAATTTACAGATCTCCTCAAGAACAACCATCCAAGTGGGGCTGGAATTAATAGCTAAACTTACACCCACTGGGGGCTGAGATCACCTACAGCTCATCTAGATTGGGAGAGTAGGTGTGGGGCGGAGCTCAACTTCAGCATGTCTAGGATTGGAAGAGTAGAGATGCTAGCAACCAAAATTTCATTGCTAACAAGGTTAACAAACAGAGTGACCCAATGGCTCTCTTGAGTAATGACCAAGCCATGGATCTTCTATCGGATAGGAAATACATCCCAGCAAAAAAAATTGCCCCTCTTTTCATATGTTCTACAAAAGCAGACTCATCCTTAGAACATGCAACTAGCTAGTAGGAAAATTGAAACCCAAGGGGTAGAAACCCAACTAGCTAGTAGGAAAATTGTAAGACACCAGCATCATCCAATGAAAAACCAAACAAATTTGATATGAATGACCAACTGACCTGGACATAAGGGGTGAGTAGATAGCCCATTGACTTAGCATCTTCGTCTTCTTGACTTCTTCTCCTTCTTCTTCCTTTTTTTTTTTAGATGGTAAAGTAATGAAGTAGTTACAGTATGCAAAATGGCATCCCACAAGACAGGAGCTCTGTACATGACAAAAATGGGTGCTTAGGATAGTGTTCTATACATCACCATGGACTCAGCATCGTCACAGCACATAAATCATCTGTGAGGGCTTCAAAATCTCCAATGCCGTAATTAGTTCACCAAACGATTTTGCTAAGGCTCAACAACTACATAAGCAAGGAATCTAGGCAAAGGAGGAATGAACCCACCTCTTTGCATTCATATTCTTTCCACATCTAGCAAGTTCCTATGATGATCTCGTATTTGGCCCAGCTCTAGAAAGGCCTAAATATCCATCTGAAAGACAATTACAAGAGCAAAGAGAGTTTCCTCAAGACTCACCCAAATTGACTAGGATCGGAAAATCAGTGAGTTACCAAGAGACTTGACCAAGTCTTATTTTCTCTGTGTCACTTCTGATGAGTTAGCCTGATTGAGCTAGGCTTGGGACTAGGTCGAATCCGGGGCATAATCAAGTCAAATTGCCCCCCCCTCAATGCCAAACCTACTAGTTCCATTCATTTGAAGTAAGTGGTTTACGAACATTAACCCAATTAACCAAGTCCAGATCAATGTTAGAAAGGCTTCCATTTCTTCAATAGATGATTTCAGTCAGCATGTGAGTGTGAGTGTGTGCCTGAGTGAGTTTTTAAATGAGCTCTAGGAGTGCCTAGTGCTATTGAGCTCCGCAAAAATCTCTCCCACCATTTACTGATGGAAAAATGACTAAATGCACCAAGCTAAAGGTCCTATAGGCAACATCCCTGCTTTTGAGTATTCAGTATTAGGAATGATTAGTTCTCACAAGGCAAGAGGGGAATATCCATTCATGTAAGTGGCTAGGAGGTTTCCTATCCACACAAGTCTGCCAATAGGTCAGGAATTCCTGGGGCAATAACATTTTTGTCTTTTGATTTTTTATGTTTGATTGCAAAAGTATCAATGTAACATTGATGGCACTTATGGGATATTGACACGGTCGTTTTCCCTAATGTTCCATGCGTCTTTACGCTGGACCCAAGCTCAAGTTTATGTCTACTAGTAAAAGTGACCTAAACTGATTTTCACAATAAAAAGGAACTTAGATGACGTAATCCTTGCCTTCAGTATCTCCAAAAATGTGAAAAACACCGATATACTATTTTTTTTTTCTAATCTGCAGATGGAGATCGTGGAAATATTAACCATACTTGAAGAAGCATAAATGAACATGAAATGAAGAACAAGTATGTTTTTGCCTCTTCGATAAATGTGTGTCTAGTATTCATCTAATAAGATCGTCATAACATCATCAGGAAAAGCAGGTTCCAATTTCAATATTTGAAGACATCATATGAAAAGAAAAAAAGTTCCAATATGTCATGTTCCCATTTCTATAGCTCACATTTCTTGACAGGTAAAAAAGGGGAAAAGTTGACAAGTGCAATGCAAATACATTGTACAGCTCACTTACTTAGAATGGGGGATGGCAGTTGAAATAGATTAAGGGTTGATGCTTGGTGTAAAGTGGAAGATCTGCAAAATCCAATCTCCATGAGGTGACTTGGTGCGCAAGTTTTAGAAGGGACTTAAAAATGAGCACATAGCAGGAAACATGGCGTTTGTTGGATTGCATACATTGTTGAGCGAAAGTTCTCCATAAATTGCACGTATTTAATATCAGAAATAGCTAAAAGCACCCTTTAACAACTAAGAGAACCATTCAACCCCATCTCCACCACCACATCCCTGCACACACACCTCCACCCCCCAAAAACGCAACTACAAGAACCACTCACCCCAATCTCCACCCCACATCCCCGCACACACACACCCGCCCCCCAAAAAAAAAAATAGAAGTTATAAGAGAGAGAAGAAAAACAACCGCCACTGCAAAACAAAAGAATTAGCATTGGAGATTTATAAGCCATAGATCATAGAATCATGAAAACATCATAACCCTACATTAGTTAACTCATATTAGTGAAAAGCAGAGTCATGATATTCAGAAGTATAATTAGAAGTCATAACTAAATTACCCAAAACTAACGTAGACTCATGATACAAGCAATGCACCAAAGACTGTAGAAAGCACTTATTCTTAACATGTAGAACATACTGTCATAGGATATACAAATTCTTAAAGAAAATAACAGTTATTGCATTCATCAATTTCAATTCAGTTTGCATAATTCCCATCTCTTTATCATCAACCTGTGTCATCGGGAGATTAATACATTTTCAATATCTTGTCATCTAGACCCCAAATATAAGTCAAGTATTTTTATAGGAGTTAAAATGAAAGAGTAAAACTTTACAATAGGCATTATAATGGAGAAACAAAGGAAGAAAGTAGCAATCATTACCCTGGATATCTACAAAATTTCTTGATAAAAATGCAATTATAAAATGCATCATTGCAAAAGGAACTATTTATATCCGATGTTTAATCATGAACAATATAGCAATCCCTTGACACCTCAAAGTTAAACCTATAACAACACAAAAGAACATTCAATTTGTAAGACATACCCGATACAACAACTCCAGAAAACCTACAAAATTCTAATATACTACATGAAAAATGCATTCTTTCCACCTTGAAACTCAAGGTACATGAAATACTGCTTTGAAATACTGGCAAACTGAATTCTCCGTCTCAATTACACAGCTAATGAAATTTCCCAATTGAATTTTCCTCTCAATATATAGGACTTCCTTTGGTATTGTTCAGGATTGAACCCAAACTCCCCAAAACCGCGAAAGCAAGAATTGGGCTCACATCCAGAGTATCAAAGACGGGAGGAATAATATTCCTGAACAAGTTCAAATAAGGGTCACACAGGTCTCTAATAGCCGATAAAGGCTGGCGATCCCATGGAATGTTAGGGAACCAACTGAGTAACACCCTAACCATCAGAACCCCACTGTAGATATCAAGCCACCTAGCCATGCCAGAGGCCACCACAGTTAATGGCGTGTTCAAGTAACCAGCTGGTCTGTTCTTCATAGCAGCGAAGAACAGAGGCCCAACTGTGCAAACTAGATTATCCTGAAGCATTCGAAGAGAAGCCGCTTCGTCTGGTGTGGGGTTCAAGCAAAGTGCCCTAATCTTGGATGCAAAACCCTGGGTTGCCGCCATAAACACTTTGGACAGAGAAAGTGCAACTCCAAGAACGTATGAAACGGTGCGTGTTGAATCAGAGAGAAAGTTTTGAGAGGAATTCAAGGAATTCGAAGTTGTATGTGCGTTTGGCGAGGAGGCTGAAGAAGCAGAAGCCCTAACACGATGAGAGAGAAAAACCCTAGTTTTGGAGGGCTTAACTCCATGAGAGTGAAAAACCCTAGCGTTGGATACTACCATCAAATTACAGGGCTTGGCAGGAAGCATGTGTACCTGGTTAGGGCAAAGATTGGACCCAAATTGTGAGGGGTTTGAAGCAAGAAAGAAAGGGGTTTGGTGGATAACTGAAAAAGAAGCCATGGCCATTGCTGCGTTTCTCTCTACCTCCTTTCTCTCTACAACTCAGGAGACTCGGATTATCCGTCGCTCCGGTGTTGTTAATCGTGCCTCTTACGCTCGCGTATACCTATATTTTCTCTCTCTAGATCATAGTTATTCCCCTTACAGCAATAGTTTCTCTCTCTGGATCATAGTTATTCCCCGCTTGCTTTTATAGCCTCTTAATGTATGAGCTAGACGTGACCACACGGTTCTCCATTTTATGGGAAATCTATCCAAAAAGCATTTAAGACGTGAACAATTTATTTCTATTATTTTCTCTTTCGGAAAATAATAAGAGTTCTTTTTAGTTAATATCTAAGGTATGGTTTTCAGAAAAACAATCTTATTGTAGAGAGAGAAACAATGAGTTTTCGTCTTATATTAAAAACATTGATACGGATTGTCAAAAAGAAAAAACATAGATACAGTATTTATGAGTCCATTCTGAAATGAGTCCCCTCTTAAAAATCTATTTTTGAAATGGATTTTTGGACCTAATTCTTAAGGGCATATAATCTCTATTTAATATGAAGATCATGAATATAAATAAAAAATAAATTTAAAATTTAAAATAATTATTTTATGAATAAAATATTTAGACCAATAGTTTCAATTGTTTTTAGATAAACCACCCATTTGCATCTATTTTTAAAATTTATGCTTGGGGGACAAAAATTTAGAAATGCATCCCCCAACATGTTTTCGTCCCCAAGCATAAATTTTAAAGATAGATGCAAACGGGTAGTCTATCTAAAAATATTAAACTATAGAAGTAATGTTCATATAGAGAAACACTCTCTTCGTCTGTATCCATATAACCTAGAGGAAAGAAGGCCTTGTGGACTTGCAAAACATGAGATACCCGTGATTATGTAGTGTTTGAGGTGTACTTTGCACTTATGACTTCGGCATATACTGTATTATGGTTGGCTATAGTGGTAACAAGTGCTTGACCGTCTTCGGGTATTTTAAATGCAATTATTAGATTCATTATAACAGTTAGAAACCCAATTACATGGATGTTGTAATTGATGCTGTAATTGATGATTATGGCAATCAAGAGGTGTGATGTTTCAACAATATCTTAAATTGATCGATCACAACTCGATTTCGAATATGTACTTTCTTTCTCAATAAATAGGACTTGAATCTTTTAGTCTAGGACAACATATTTCGTATCTATTTCTTTTATTGCTCATTTTCTTTCTTTAAAGAAATATGGTTGTTGCGCTATGTGAATTCGCTGGTTTTGTGTTGGATGTTCTTTTTTTAGGTATTCCGAGGACAATTTTCCTAAAAACCTCTACATGTTTCTATAAGGTTGCAAGTTTAAACAATCCATTAAGGCCCACCTCCAAATTTTAACATAACATGTAGTGTTGGTGTAAAAAATTCTTAGGATTTTCTCTAAATCTATTTTTATATATAAGTATAAAATTTTAAACTTCAAAAATAGTTAAAATCAAATAGATCTATAAACATATGAAAATCTTGAAAATGGACGGTCTAGATAATGTGTTTCAAGATGTATTATTTATGAGACTCAAAATCCTTTTATTTTTATTTTTATTTTCGTATATATCGATGTCGAGGTCATCGAGTAGAGAGTTTTTCAACAACTTTTTTCGATGGATTTTTGAGGTGCATATGTAGTTCTACATTTTAAGGTTGCAACCTTATATAAACTTTTTCCTATTGTTAATAAGGGAAAATATTAGTGCATTTGACGTACGTGAAAACAAAAAGATCCCTCCCCTTTTATTTGCAAGGTTTGAAAATATTTATTTTCATTGCCCCAATTTACTCGCTCCCACTATTTTGGACATTCATAACTTACGAGCTGTGCACTCGAGAGTTGATCTAAGTGATTAAATCTAGAATTTTTAAGAGCATAAAAGTATTCCAATCCAACCCAAGAGGTGCTTCAAATAGACAAAAGGGGAAAATGATCAAAATGTATTTTTAAAAATATAACTATTTAACATTTATCAAAACATATATGAAATATCAACTATTCTAACTCATAGTCATGTATTTTTTAATTTTATGAAATAAAAAAAAGGAGTGTGATGTTGATTTTGAGAAAATATAAAATACTAAAATATTATAGAACTTAAAATATATAATGGAACCATACTGTTAAAATAATTGTAAAATCCGATATAATTCTTCATAATATTATATAGTTTATAATAAATAAACTCGTATTATTGGACAACTTGTATGATAAGCTATATTATATATATTCTTTTATAATTTCAGAGTATTGATATTATATTAGTTTTAGTTATAATGTATAATTATGCTAATATTGAATTTACAAGCGGTGCATATGGAAATGTTATAACATAGAAGAATAGCAAAAACTGAAAACTTGTAGGCACCATGATCTCGACTAAAGAAATTATGGATAGGTTGAAATGTTTCAGGTAGGCCATCTAGATATTTTAAACCATTCACCCAATCGAAACCCCTTTTCCGTGAACCTAGCCTCCACCAAACCCTCATTACTCCAATGGGACCAAAGGCACCAAGAGGCAAGACAGACTCAGAGCGACCTGACTTTGAAGCATTCCAAAAGGAAAAGCTTTAATGTTGCCCCAACAGCCACCAAAGCCCTACGAAAAGTCCGAAGGTGGAACACTGAAGGCACCTTAGTCACTGAGGAGGTGGCCTGGAAGACCAGAAGCCTGGCGCCATTCCCAACTAGCACCTAGCTCCATGCACCCTTTTGAGCTCCAAAAAGGATCAGCAATCTGGCAGCAATGCCAATGCCACTAGCTCCATTCCAACTAGCGCCAGCCCTGAAGGCCACCACCAGGCAGGAAACAACTTGACCGACATGACTGAGATGACATGCTGCATGTCAGTCCATACCCGCCGACATGGCAAGCCCATACTGATGAGTCAGAAGTTAATACGGCCTATAGTTGTCGAATTTCCATTGGGTGATGAATTGATGAAAGTACAACCAAGACGACGTGCCAGCTGGTTTCTGACGGCACTCTAAATGCCCTCGACGTCAGTTGGAATAGCTTTAAGTTGTGATTGGTCCATCAGATTCAAACCAGAGTCACCAAAACACGACATGGGTCTGAAATAAAGTTTGAAGGCAGTCAGAATGTCGTCGGCGCCATTGCCAATGGCATCAGACATTGACAGGGCCGTATCGATCGCATTAATGAGCAGTTAATGTTTGTTGACCGTCATTATTACTGCATTAATGACATGGTGTTATTCCCACTATCGCCAGCGCCGTTCCAAATGTCGTCAGAATTCTAATGGCATGAAAATTGCACAAAACAGACTTACAAGCTGTCATGGATCCATTTTACCTATAAATTGGCCATTGTTACCTCTATCTTAAGGTCCAAACTTCTTTAATCTTGAGCCTAGGCTATGGTAAAAAATTCTTGATCTTGAGTTTAAACTTGAGGTTAAGAGAAAAGCCCTAAAGTGAGCCCATTTGAGCAAATATCAATTCCATCCAAACCCCTCAATTCAGAAATAAAATGCCAACTCCTTCAAGCTACACTATCAAACTGAAGGCAGTCTGGATAATCAGACATTCCGGGGCCTCTTCCTCCTATTTCTATTTGCCCCATTAAAAACCAGAAAGCTTGGGATTGACTGTGCAACCAACCGATCTGAATCGGTGCCGACTCTAGGCACCAGGCCTGGGGCCCGGCCTAAATATTCTTTTCATTTGTTTTTCTAGCATTTATTTTCATTTATTAGTTACATTTATGATTTTCTTCACTTCCTTTTCTATTTCCTGATGTAGCTCTACCTTCCTCTTCTTATATCTCTTACATTTATTCCTTTTAATTATATCTATCTACTTTTCATTATTTTCCCTTTATTTATGATCTCATTCAACTTCTCTCCTTCTTCATTTAATATAGTATTTACCATCCCTACTGAGTTATATTTAATCCTTGCTTTCTTCTTTTATCTTCTTTTTGCATATCATTTCCTCTTTTGGTTGGTTTGAAGTTACTCTTTTTGATTTGTGGCATTCATGTCTTTTTGTTGTTTCTTTATTTGGTAGCGTAGACCTTTTCTCCTCACCCAATCTTCTCATTTCAATGATTATATAGTCATTCTCCTTTTTTCTATCATATTTATTTCTTATTAAGTCTATTGCATCTATCCTTCTTTCATAATGTAGATCTCTTCCCTTTTCTCATCTCTTCAAATTAATGATTGCTTTCTTGTCTTCATTATACTCTTTTTATTTCAGCTTGGGATGTTTATCTCTTTCATTTCCTATTCTCTCTTATGTTTACTATGTCTACTCTTATATTTTGTTCAATATCTTACGCTTCTCCTTCTTCTCTCTTGAATATACTCCTCTCTCCCCTTTCAATGCTTCATTCTCTACTTCTCTTTATCTCATTTATCTTAGCACTATTTCTAATACTTTTTCCTTCTATCTCTCTTTTATATTTATTTTTATTACTCTCCTTGCATATTATCTATTAATATTAGTTTCACTCTATTTTTCTTTATGTAGATTATCTCCCATGTTATATTATTATTTTTATGCTCATATTGTGCTCGTATCTCTTTTGATGGGGACTCCTTTCTCTTTAATATTCACTCTCTATTTTCTTTAATCTTCTCCCTCTCTTTCATTTTATGTTATACATGTTTAGTTTAGATAGTAACTTAGTCTTTATGACCTCAATGCTTTTTAATTTCTTATTTTTCTTGCAATTTATAGTTAGATTATTTATCCTTGTTTATCTCTATTTCCCTAGTTTGATTGTTTATTTGTGGTTTTCCTTTCTTGTTCTCTTTTCAATTCTATTTTCTTAAAAACTTCTTCGTCATCTTCAAACCACTTTTCAAAAGCTTTCTTTGTTAAGTTCTAAGGTTGAAATAGGAGGGAAGCCAACTTTGTCGGTGATCCGAGGGTGATAAGTCTTAGGACTCGATTCTCCCCGGGACGTGATATGACGGGACTCATACTCTTCCAAATCTTGGATTTGTTTGTACTTGAAACCAAGGCAGGGGCGAAGTTCCTTACCCGCATTTTTTAGTATAAACAAACTATATTTTAAACTCCATAGTGTTATGAAGAACTAATAATATCCATTAATATTTCTATTTCCTTAAAAATTAGGACGAAGTAA